GAGGCCGGTAATTTTCAACAAAAATAATCCCCAACCAAGAAAAAAAAAAAGAAAAAAAAAAAAATCCAGAAAATCACATTGTCTGATTTTTAAATTCTTTAAAAATCAGACAATGTGATTTTCTGGCTTTTCATTTCTCATTTTGTCTCTCATAGTTGAGGTATATCTATGATGAAAATTACCGGCCTCTCTCATCTTTTTAAGTGGGAGAACTTGCACTATTGGTGGCTGACTAAATACTTTTTTGCCCCACTGTATGTAATAAAACCAAAATCAGTGCCTCTGCAATTTGAAAAATGTGGTTTGTGAAATTGCAATTATATTAACGCGCCTAACGCATTTAATTGCCCAGCCCTAGTTCTTGAGCGGATTTTTATTGAGTTTCAGATCTGTGGACTTTCCTGGATTGAAAAGGTTCAATGTCGCCTTCCAGATTCATTCTTTCATTGGTGTTGCTTGATGAGCAGGTTCTCCAGAGCTTTGGTGCCGTTAGAGGATGTTTGGATCCCGTTTCTCCGGACAGTCACTTTTGCAGTCAAGTCCTTTTACTGAAAGCTGAGCTGTTCTGTTATTTTGGTGGGATTAAAAGTATTTTTTAATTACAATGAAACAATCAATCAATGAAATTCCAAAACAGTTAAAAAAAATCCACTGGACTTGGTTTCCATTTTTAAGACGTTTCGCTTCCCACCCAGGAAGCTTTTTTAATTCAAAATGTAAGAAATAGCGTTGAGTTCAAGGCTTTATAGAGTGGACCAAAGCAAAGCCTTGTTTTGGCTTAGAAACATGCAAATTGATGTGGACGAACAGGTCCGGCCCTTTGGAAGAGGGGTCGTTTAGGTTCTTTGTTAGCCTTGAGCAGTGAACAACAGGACTCATTTCACTCCTGACCAGATCTGCACCCTACTGGACCTTTGTCTTTCCAAGACTTAGTTCAAGTTCAAGGATAATTTTTAAGGACAGAAGCATGGTTGTGCCATGGGTTCTCTAGTATAACCAATTGTAGCCACTCTTTGAATGGAAGACATGGAAAGAGAGCTTTGGACTCCTTCAGAGGAACACCACAGCCACTGGTTTAGAGATGTGGATGACACGTTCCTCAAAATCCAGATAAAAGAAGCGGAAGCTTTAACAAAACACATCAACTCATTTGACCACAACATCAAATTCACCAGAGAGGATGCAACGACAACAAACTACATTTTCTGGACTGTTTGGTGAGCATGGAAGGAGATGGAAACCTCAACATTGAAGTGTATAGGAAACCTACTCACACAGACCAATATCTTCTTTTTGACTCACACCACCCACTGGAACACAAACTTTCAGTCAGCAGAACCTTACAACACCGGACAGAACATGTCCCTACTAAAACAGAAGGGAAACACAAAGAACAGAAACACATCAGCAAGGAAATCCAAAAGACGCAGAACATAACGGTGAGAAGATTAAACACAAAAAAATCACATATTTTGCTGGAGTCTTTGAAAAACTTTCATCCAAACACAAAATCCCAGTACATTTCAAACCAAACAAGACCCTTAAACAGAGACTAGTGAAACCTAAAGACAAAACCCCCAGACCTAAGATGAACAAAGTGGTGTATGCAGTTTAATGCAGTGAGGAATGCTCTGATCTTTATATTGGAGAAACCAAACAACCTCTCCATAAACGCGTGGTTTATGTATCGCAGTCTTTCCTCCTCGGGAAAAGACTGCGATACATCTACACCTTATGTACAAAGGACATTCTTTTCAGGACCGGGATGTTCACATTTTGGACAAAGAACGTATGTGGTTTGAAAGGGGTGAGAAGGAAGCCATCTATGTTAAGAAAGACAAACCAACCTTAAACAGAGGGGGTGGACTCGGGTTTCATCTTTCAAAAACCTACAATTCATTGATTGAGTTGATTCCTTCTCACTATCATTGCAAACCTCCACCCCCTTATAGGGGAACAAATCACCTCACCTGTTCAGCCAGGCCAACAATTCCCAGTAACGGCCCCCCTTTCAGAGACATAGACAGGTATGAGATATTACAGGCTAACAAAGAACCCAAACCACCCCCATTCATCCGGTTTAATTTGCATGTTTTCTAAACCAAACAAGGCATTTGGTCCACTCTATAAAGCCTTGAACTCAACACTATTTTTGACATTTTAAACTGAAATAGGATGGGAGGCGAAATGTCTTCAAACTGAGAAACAAAGTCCAGTGGATTGCTTTTTAACTTTTTTAAAAATGACTACGACCTGGATGACTGACGATCTTCACCAGCAGAATGACTAAATATTATTATAATGGCCCAGACTCTAAAACAGGCCTTTAGCTGAAAGAATGACCTGCTTACTGCAGTATTTGAGAGAAATAAATGCAAATAATATACATTTTCATCTAAAATTAAAATATGTTTATATAAATTGAAATTAGGGCTGCAACTAACGATTATTTTGCAAATTGATTAATCTGTAGATTATTTTTTTTTATTACTTAATTAATTAATAATCAGATAGAAATAGGTTCCTTAAAGAAGAATTTTTATGAAATGAGAACAGGTGAATCTAAATCTTTTCCACTTGAGGAGGTCTGGATAGAGCGCATTGACAGATGAAAAAAAGTTTTTTTTTTTTTATCTTAAATGCAAAATCTTTATGTAATTTTTTACAACCTTGGTATAATTCCTGCTCCAAGTGGGTCACTCTGTCAGCTAAAGGAATGTTTTAGAGTCTCTACACTCCAGTTAATGGTTAATTGATTACTGAATTAGTTGACAGTTATTTCAAAAATCGATTAATCCGATAAATTGTTTTAACCCTAGTATAAATAATAACAATGTAAAAACTGATCCAAAAATTTGAGCATAATATTGTTTGAACAATGTTTATTTTTGTCCTCTGAAAATGCAACCGGTCCGAAGTAAAATAAGAACAAAAAGCGACTCTAGAAGTCATGCTTTTAAAGATGGTTTCCCAGCCGGTAACAAAGTTTGCAAGTTTCCACCAAGTTTAGTCACATTTCAAACAATATATGAGTTACAGAGGCTAATTATAGGACCCCACAAGTTTGTTAACATTTCTATTCTCAAATGACATTTTCTTGAATTTTCTGAAGTTTTCTTTAAACTTGGTTGGAAGCTGCTGATGTCAGTGATGTAAAACTCCCCAATGACTGACTGGCGTCTGCTGACTCGTTTTTCCTCCCTGCAGACCACTGCATGGTGAATTTCATCAAAAAGAACCTCCTGGGCTCCCTGAACGAGTTTAGAAACCGCTTCATCAACCCCATCCAGAACGGCCAGTGTGCTGACTCCACCCCCAGAGACGTCCGCATCATGAAGAAGCGTGCCCATGTTCTCCACTCCGTTTTGGCCGGATGCGTTCAGGTGAGAACAGGAGGAACGGCAGCCTGCGGGATGTCCGTTTACATTCTCAAACTCCTCTGAGTTATTTTTCTTTTTTAATCCTAGAGAAGAGATTACTCTGAGCTGACTACGTTTCTGCCTCCCAAACACGAGTACGTGCTGTTAGTGAGGATCTCCACGCTTCAGCATAAGCTGTACCTCTACTACCTCGACCATGTGGTGTCTAAGCACATGTTGGCTGGTAAATACACAGATTAGATCAAAGACATAGAGCGGTTTAGTCGTCCTCACCCTGCCTGATAGATTTAGGGTTGTTTGGAAATATGACGTTTTCCCAGAATCACCGGAACATGTTGGCAGGTTTTTTTTTGTTTTTTGTTTTTGTCTCCAGCTGAAGACTCCATGAAAGGGAAAACCAAAACCAGCGCCAACGTGTTCACAGATTTTCAGGTCCTGGGCAGAATTTGGTCTCATCCATGGTGCCTCCACCTCAGCAGCCTCAGCAAAGACAACATGAAGGTAGAAGAATCACATCAGCACTGTACCAGTCTGAAGGTTTATCTCCACTAACTCCTCTGATTTATCCAACAGCAGAGACATTTCCAGAAGAACGAAGGGAAAGAAGTGAATAAGAACGGAACCATAGCCATTTCTACAGTTGAACCCCAGACCGAGCCGCCGGTGGGAGGTACTACAGCGGCAGCTGTCTGAGTGTCTGGATGCTGAGGCTTACAAAGTCCTTAGCTGAGATGTTCCTATTTCTGATGTTCTCTGTAGGACATGAAGCATCCAGCAGCTCGGGTCCTCGGCGTCCTGCTCAGGCCTGGTACAAACATCTGCTGTCTGAAGGCGACGCCACAATCATGGAGCATTCTGGAAAAATGGTTCTTCTGTTTGAAATCCTCCGAATGGCCGAAGACCTGGGCGATAAAGTGTATGTTTTAGAAAAAAGTAGCCGGAGCCGTTCTGGTTATTTGTTTAAGTGCTGAACCCTTCTAAGGTTCTTTTTTTTTATACAAATGAAATCTGAAAAGTCTGGTTAGCCTTTATCATTAGCTGGTCGTCTTTCTGATGAGCTTTGATCCACAGGCTGTAGCTTTGCATCCTGCTGAGGAAAACCATCCCAGCTGCAAAAAAGATCCATCTAACCTGGCCTTACTGTCTGACATCCGCCCAAGAAGTCGTTTTGATTTGAGATTAATATACTAAACTGCGATCTGCTCATTATTAATCATCTTTAATTGAAAATTCTGCTCAAAATGTAGAGCAATAATCTGCCAATGCAGCTGCACTTGGAAAGAATTTTTGTTTTTTTTTTTGAAAATATAATTTTTAATTTGGGATTCTAACAAATTCCGTAAAAATTCAAATAAATATCCACTGGACTTGGTTTTCAAGATTTGAAGACGTTTCGCCACCTCTCCAGGAAGCTTTCTCAATTCAAATGTCTGGATCCGCAGTGAGTTTGAGTCTTATATAGACAAAGCCTTGTATCGCTTGGAAACATGCAAATGGTAACCGATGAATGGGTCGTTTGGTTCCATCGTTAGCCTGTAATATCTGAAACATGTCTATGATTCTGAGGGTCGGTCGTTAAAGAGGGAGGGATTGCCTTTAAGGGGGGGATTGTCTCCTGTAATACCTGAAACCTGTCTATGATTGTTAAGAGTCGTCGTTAAGGAGGTATTATTCACCGGCTGGAGCGGGTAGGTCCCTCGTTCCTCTGTGATGGGGTGGGGGGTTTGGTGATATTAGAGGAACGAGGGACCTACCCGCTCCAGCCGGTGAACAATACCTCCTTAACGACGACTCTTAACAATCATAGACATGTTTCAGATATTACAGGCTAACGATGGAACCAAACGACCCATTCATCGGTTACCATTTGCATGTTTCCAAGCGATACAAGGCTTTGTCGATATAAGACTCAAAATCACTGCGGATCCAGACATTTGAATTGAG